ATTTTACTCTCTAACAGTGACAAATTCCCAAAAAAAAGGGACTAGACTTGCAACTTAAAAGAAAGGCAATTAAGGGATCAGAATACTATAACATTTTTTTTTTTGCTTTTTATTTTGTTTAAGTTTGTAACTAAACATAGTTGTATGCTATGATATATATAACCTTGTCATATGTGGTTATTGCCTTAGTGATAATATTTTAGCATGTGGAATGGCAGGGAGTGATGAGGGAAATAGGAGAGACGTTTCAGAAAGAGGTTGTGGAAGGAGGATTAATCAGGGATTGTCTTGAATTGGGTAACAATGATTTGAAGGCTTTGATTCAGGTTGTCAAAGATTTGTTGTTGCAATTTTTTCCTCTTCATGGTAAAGACCCTGATCTATAGCTAGGAATTTGCAAGTTCATTGAGAATTTCTAAGATTATGTAACTGCTTAACAAGTGACCAAAATTCAATTTCTGCTTTTGCTTTCACTCTGTTTTTCTTAGGATCCTAGATTTCAGCAAGAATTAACTGTTAAATTTACTGTTATAACTATTGAACGAGGAAATTGTAAATATGAAGTGTTATCGATAAAGTTTTGCTGAGAGAAGCTTAGTTATAAATTTCATTCTCAATTAGAACGAGTTAAAAGAAAAATAGCATAATTTCTTTTAAGTTTAGTTTTAATAAGCTAATCTGCAGCTTCATTTTCATTGCTCTGGACTCCAATTACCTTTAGGTTTAAATGTTATTCAGTGTAGAATTTCCGAGCTTTCAGGTTTTCATATAAAAAGAATAAGATAATTATCAAAATAACATAAAATATTGTGTGTGAAAATAAATAACATACACTGGTGTCAATCCGCAAAATTGATGGTTGAAGTTAATAAAAAATTCTTCCTCATACTTCCACCGAAGCAACCAAAAAGTTTCTTATATTTTTGAGCCAAATTTTTTTAAAAGCAGGAATATCAGACATTTTTCCGAGCTCAACTTCCTGTACCTTGTTAAAATCTTGGATCACCACCTTTTACTCTAAAATGGTATTTTAGTCTAATTACATTTCAGAACATCTACTTAATAATATAAAAAAAAAAGTCAACCAAAAGATTCTTATACCCCCATTTCCCTTGATGATAGAAGGAGTAGAATAAAGCTGTACCGAAGTAAGGCAAAGTGGCCTCCCAAGAGACGTCATATGCATACATGGCAGTTGAAGCCCAATCAGAGACAGATAGTCCACTTCGTCAACACCCAAGCAATACAGCAGTTGTGGAGCAAAATGAAATACTCTCTTTAAACTCAAATATGAATACAAAACATCAAAAATATTTCCCAATTCAAATTTCATCACTATTTTTAATAAGATGATTAAAAACAGTTTAAGAAATGTTTTTTTTATTCTAATGAAATTAAGGAAACTGAATAAACTTCACAATATTTTTTAATTAGAATGATAAAAATTAAGTTGCAAGCCCATAGTCGTTGCATTATTAGGTCCTATAGGTTGAACCTTGATTCCACTTAAATCAAGCGAACCATCTTAAATTTCTTCCTCTTTGTGCTTGTTTTTTTATGCTTGATTACTTCTAGATACTCCTTTATTTTTTATGTTTTGAGGGAGTTAGAAAGAATCTTGGATGTTTACCAGCATGATTAGGTACAACCGATAAATAACATTATCTCTTAAACATGCAGTTACAAGTTTGATTACTTGATCTTTGTGTACGAACAAATATTTGGTCAGAGAGATCAAACACTTAAATTAATCTATAAAGTGAATTAATCTTTAACTCATGGCTTAATTATATTTTTAGTCTTCTAAATATTAGAAATGGTATGATTTTGGTTCTTTTGTGAATCTTCTGATAAATTTTTAATAGATTTTACTCACTGAATAATGACATGTTACATATCACATACTGACATAACTTAATTAGTATTCTAAAATTGTAATGTTATAATTTGTACATTTTTATTCCAATTTTAAAATTTATCAGTAGTATACATGATTAACTTAATTTATCATATTTCTTAAATATTTATCAAGATCTTATATCAAGAATAATTAAGATGTTCAAGCATAGAATCAATTTGGTGCAAGATAGTTGTCATGATGAGTTATGAACATCAACCATAGGAGGAATCCTACTACTACGAGGTTGACATATTAGAATCTTAGTCACTTAAAGAAACATCATCATTCAGGAACCTTTCAAATGGTAAATTTGTTACCAAATATAATTAGGTAACTAAATTGTCGAGTAATGAAAAGAAGCTTCTAGTCTTATGGCACACCTCACAACACAATTCTAGTTGACTAGTAAGTGGTAACTACACAAATTTTGCCCTTAATTATACCTACTCCCTTTCCCTATCCCTTACTCTTTTTTCTCTCTCACCATGATGTGTGGATACAAACAAAGGCCATTGCAATGAACATATTCGGCAATGTCTATCATAGACCATAACTCTCTACCTATATATCTATAGTTAGCATAAATTTCCACCTCTCACATATTTCCAACTATTTTTGGTTGAGTGAGGCCACTCAAATTATTACAAATCTCACATTCATTATAATAAAATATATATTAAATGCGATATTTTAGTTATGATTTTATTTGTCACTTAACAAATTAATATTTTAGGTTATGCTTCACTTTATTGTTGATTATATAAACAATGTTCTTAAATTTCAAGAATGATAAGATTAATCTGAAGTTTTTAATTGCAATTATTTACTGGAAAAATACTGGCTAAAATTCTTAAATCTTATGTGAATTGTAGAGCTTACAGAAGAAGAGTGACACAACTCCACCATAATTGTGTCATTATAAATGTTCTAAGAAGAAACATTATTAGAATGATATATAAAGTAATTAAAGTTTAGTCATTTAGGATTACAGAAAATCCAAGCGTGTTTGTTAGTCAATGCGATAGCCAAAAGAATTAAATTTTAGTATCAACTAGCATTTATGAACAGTTGGCTACTTTCACCAAGGAATGGACCAACCATATCAAGGCATGAACTACTCTCTAACTTTTTTTTTTTTTATCAAACCCTAATCCACGAAAAATAAGTATAAAAATATATTTGTATTTCGTATTTCATTCAAAATACCACGTTTTGATTCTACCTTAACTAATATTTTAAGGATATCTTCTTAAAATTTCATAATTGAAGTAAAAGAAAGATAGTGCCCACGTGTGTGTCTCATTTGCGTAATTGGTGTTTTGCTGATAAATAATAGTTAAAAAATAAATTTAGAAGAACACAATAGAATTTGTAATTATTTTAAAGTTATTACAGGCATGTAATAAAAATATTAATTTTTTTAAATTAATATCTTTGAATGTTTTTTAAAGAAACTTTAAAATATAATTATATTTAGTTAAATTATTCTCTATTGTAACATTCAAAATATGTTTAAATTAATACACTTGCATAATTTATTTGGTAAATAGAATTAAAAAGATGATTCTGAAATTCTTAAATTTTCGTACAAACGGACAAAAGTAATTATTCTTAATAAATAGAGGATAGCGACTTGGCGTGATGAAGGTGTCCTACGTCCATAGGATTCATTTGATTTTGTTGTCAACTTTTACTTTAAAATACCCTGTTTCTCCAGCTACCTTCAAACTTTAATTTTCCTTTCCAAAATTCAAAATTGTTTGGTCCTCCACAACAACGAAGTTAAAAGTAAGGGTGATGATATTTTTACACCCTTAACAACAAATAACTCAAAAACAATCCATTTTATTAATATAATAATTATGAAAGAGATTAAATAAAAATAAAAATAAGTTAAAATTATTATTATAATATTAAAAGTGGGTTGTTTGTTAAAGTTATATAAAATTGAGTTGTCAAAGTATCATTTTCTAAAAAGAAACCCCAAATCCTAAAACAGTACAGGCTTCACTAAAAAAAGTGTTGGGGTTTCTCCATTCTAATCCATTTTAAAGATTTTTTGAGATATTTCATTTAGTTTCTAAAACATTATTCTTCAACAGTAAATGTTTAACATTTTAGAGCCCTATTGACGTGTGAAAACATTTTTTTTTTTATAAACAATTTTGACTATCCAATTTTTGAGATTTAAAAATATGTTTGTTTTGACTTTAAATGAAGACAAAAACTTTAAAACTTTGTCATCGTGAGCAAGAGCAAAGGCAAAAGCAAAATGTGATGCCTAACTATTTAACAGAAGCAAACAGCAGAGTTTAATGCTTATTTACCATAGCAAATGAAACCATCCAAAGCTAAAGAGACTAAAGCATAATACAAAAGTCAGTACTTGAGGATTGATTGCTTTACAGAAGCACACCAAAGATGAGAAATCCGCCAAAACTAACCAATATAATTCTTCAGATAATCTGAAAATTAGAGAGACGCAACAAATTGACCAAAGAGAAAGCTAACCGATGCAAGAGGGCACTGATAGACGAATCCTTGAAAGTGCGCAACAACAGAACAAGATCAACGTTAGGAATAAATGGCAGGTGAAATAAAAAGGGATGTTGATAGTATTAATATACAAGAAAAATGGTAGAGATTAAAGCCCAAATGATCCAAGCAATGAATCAAATCACAGCCCTAGCTCCCCACAGTTGATGGAAACAGAGTGCCAAAAAGACCAAAGAGAAATTCTTAAAATCTCTTCCGGAATGAATAATACAAAAGGTAACCATATGCAACTTGAATGAAGTTTTGAGCATTGGACCACTTAAAATAAAATTGGAAAACAATAGAATTAAAAATAAACAAAGTTGAGTAAGGAAGTGAAGTAAACTAAAAATTGAAAAGTAACCGGTTACTAGATTTTAATTACCTTGAACTAATTATAGGTATAAGTGGTAGGAGGCTTTTAATGCTTAAAACAAAAATATGCATGGGTAAAAAAAGGTTGGTTTTTTTCTCTTGCTTCTGCTACTATATATAGTTTTTGGTGAAAAGAGAAGTAGCATAGTAGTTTGGTTTGTTGGGGGAAAGGCATAGTTAGCTACTAAGAATGAATATAGTGGTGGTGGTAATGGTGGGTGTGGGTTTGTGGGGTGTGATTGGAGGTGCAGAAGCAGAAGAGAGTCCTTGCTACTTTATATTTGGAGACTCACTGGCAGATAGTGGGAACAACAACCAGCTTGAGTCATATGCAAAGGCTAATTACCTCCCCTATGGGATCGACTTCCCTCTTGGCCCAACCGGAAGGTTTTCCAATGGCAACACTTACGTTGATGTAGTTGGTCAGTTTCTTATTTTATCCTCCTTTTATATTTTATATAATAATTTATTATCAAAAATAAGTTCTTCTATCAAATAATTTATGTACTCCAACACGCTGTTTACAAAGTCTTACAGTCAATTTCACACGTAACTTTACGTCATCTCTAACTCTTCTCTACTTAATAAGTTATATATCATAACCCGCACAATGCACGGGATTCTTGAAATTTTTATATTAATAATAAATAATACTTTAAAATTAATAATTTATATTAATAAGAAAATAAGAAAGAAAAATCTCAAATTTTTAAAATTTAAAATGAAAAAATTATATTAAAAAAGATTAAAAATTTGAAATGAAAAAGTTATATTGAAAAAGATTATATAAAATAAAAAGTCTTAAACCAATTTCACACGTAACTTTACGCCATTTTTAACATAATTTTCTTAATTGTTTTTTTGTTTTTAATATATATATATATATATATATATATATATAATTTATATTAAAATTGTTTAAAAATTAATCTTAGAAGTCAAAATTAGTTTAGTGTATGTTTATTTGGGATGGAAAGTTGGGAGCAGAAAATAAAGATTTCCTTAGAAAAAGTAAATGTCAAGCCAATTATACTTTTCGCGTTATATAGGAGTGAAAATAGTGGTTTTGGAATGTAATTGATTATCATCAATGAAATAAATCAATTATGTATAATATCTTTTTAATTTATATTTTCTTTTTTATTTGTTTAATATATATATATATATATATATTTCATATTAAAATAATACATAAATAATTAATAATAAATAATTTTTTTCTTGATTTAAATAATCATATATATATATATATATATATATATTATATATTTATACCCTTTAATATATCTGAACACAAACTTACATAAATACTCTTTTTTTCAATTTATCGAAATACTTTTTAAAAATGAAGGACAAACTTTAATTTTAAAATAAATAATAATTTAAATTTGATGATATTAATTAAAATAAAGATAGTATTTTTATTTATTAAAATAATTTTAAAATAAATTGCTGCTAGTAAACGTGTTATTTAATCGGGAAAATATTAATAAATTATATCTTAAATTCATTTTTAAAATTTAAAATTATAAAATTTAATTAAATATAATTTATCTATAGATGATTTAACTTAAAATGCAAATAATAACTTAATTTTTTTTAAAGAGAGTGGAGCGTACCAATTAAGTTAATATTCTTGTGAATTTTAACACTAATATAAAGGAAAGATTTACACGTAAAACTGTCCGATAATAAATCAGTAACAATATAATCAATAGAAGAATAAGATTGTTCTATTTATAGGATTTTTATTAAGTTATTTATAATTAAGTAAAGAAGAAGAAGGGAAGGAAAGAAGGAAGATACATGAACAACAAAAATGAAGTGATGCACATTGATATATTTTAACCAGAAATGTTGATTTATTGACAAAAAGAGCTGATACGTACATATGGATGTAAATATATGAAATGCTGTCTAACCTTCTCTGAAATTGAACAGCTCAGCTTTTGGGGTTGAACGGTTACATACAGGCATTTTCAAGAGCTAGTTACAGAGACATATTTTACGGAGTGAATTATGCTTCTGCAGGTGCTGGAATAAGAGACGAAACTGGGAAGCACCTGGTACGTAACTAATTATTTTTTTCTTCATTAATTTGGTAGCCTTATGATTTTTATTTTTTTATAATTATTCATCTGTGTTCTACTTTGTAGGGAGACCATACCAGTTTTAGAGGGCAGGTGCGAAATCACTTAAGGACGGTGTCGTATATGTTAAATATATTGAGAGATGAAAACAGAACTGCAGTTTACCTGAATAGGTGCATTTATTCATTTGGATTGGGCAGTGAAGATTACCTCAACAACTATTTCTTGCCTCAACTCTATCCCAGCAGCAGCCAGTACACACCAGAGCAATATGCCAATTTTCTTATTCAGCAATATGCTCAATTTCTCCAGGTTAGTACATGCTTGTTAGCTTCCACTTTTGCTATTTTCAACTGATATCAATGCTTCCATCTAGCACTTGTTTTTGTCACAAAGTGTAAAAATGACAGTGGTTTTAAATGATTCAGGTTCTGTACAACTATGGGGCAAGGAAAATGGTGTTATTTGGGGTTGCTCCAATAGGTTGCAGCCCTTATGCATTAGCGCAAAACAGCCCAGATGGTACAACATGTGTGGAAGGAATCAATTCTCCAATCGAAATATTCAACAACGGATTGAGATCTCTTGTTGATGAACTCAACACCCAGTTGGCGGATGCAAGATTCATCTATGTAAATGTTTCTGGTATCTTCCAAAACATCATAAGCAACCCATTAGCCCTTGGTAATTACTTTATGCTTAGACCATGTGTTAGTTTGTTGGGACTCAAATTTCATGCTCATTTTGTTGCCATGTGATGTTCTTCAATTTTCAGGTTTCAGAGTGATAAATAGTGGGTGCTGTAGGGTAGGATGGAATTATATTATTCAATATACGTGTGTGCCACTGCAACTGCCATGCTCTAACAGGACCGAGGTCTTATTTTGGGATGCGTATCATTTTAGTGAGGCTGCAAATACTATCATTGGCGGAAGAGCTTACAATGCTGCATCTACATCCGACGCTTACCCTTTTGACATCAATCGTTTAACTCAGATCTGAAGACGGTGTAGTTGTGTTTCTTAACTGGACACGTAAGCAGTTCAATATTTTATAGTATTTGGCATTAGGGATTTTAAATTTCAAATAAAAATATTCATTTTGAAGGAAATTAGGGGAAGCCCCTCTCTCTCTTCTGGTTGGAAAGCGAGAACAGTTGTTTCTTCAGTCTTATTAGGAGTCGGATCACAAAATAGGTCGGTCCTTCTCCTCTCTAGAAATTAAGATAGATTATATAATTTTTTATATACACTTTTTTTATATGTTTTTAATTATATAAATAATTTTAAATTTTTATTTATTAATTAATAATTTTATTTGATAAATTAAAAAATTACTATATTAAAATAAATAAATAATTAATATTTATAATTTAAATTAATATATATATTTTTAATTTAAAAATATGATAAAAAATATAACATTTTTAATTTTAATTTTAATATATAAATATTTTTTAAGATGGGCAAGTACTTCTTATCTACATTTGTTGATCAGATTAATGAGTTAAGTGAAACAGGTAGATATACTAAAACTAAACTTTATTAATTGAAATAATATAAGTTTAAGTCTTATAAATAGAAATGACTTATAACTTATTTTCTTAATATTTTAGTTTAAAAGTAATATTAATTTTTTTATAAATGAGATTTATATCTTATTATTAATATTAAATTTTTCTACAAATCCTTACAAGATTTAACACTACCAATCAATCCCATTATATTTGAAGATCAGTTCCCTGAACCTAATATATTTTATGATCCTAATAGAAAATAGTATGTATAATTTATCTCAAATATATTTATTAATGTAATATATAATAAAAAATAATAAATTAATTCATGATTTATCAATTTATTATAAAAAAATATATTATTATAATTTAAGAGATAAAATAATTCTTCATTTATATAGACTTTTTTAATTGAAAATACCAACAACAATTATATAACTAATCCCAAAAAATTAGAAAAACCTAGAAAAGAAGTACTAATATGTCAATATAGATAATAAATGAGACTTAAATATTGATTTTTAATCCCTAAAAATCGTGTGACAGGTGAAACAATTTAAATGTTATAACTGATATCATTATCAGAAGGGACTTAACCATTTTTTAATTCATGAAGTACCTAATCTGTAAGAGAAATTTATTAGACACAAAAATCAATTGTATATTGGAAACCTTAGACCAATTCAAAACAATTAAAAATAATTCATGGAGCGTTATCTTATTTAAGCCTAAGTTCATGCATAAAACCTAAAGTTAAAAAACAATAATTAGGTCAAGTTCGGAAAATTTTGGACCTATAAGAAAATCGTCTATAAACAATAAAATATTTTCTCACTATTTCGTTGCCAATATGTAGAAAATTTATTTAACAAGGGATTAACAACAGCATAAAAAAATCACACGTCAATATCAAACTAAATTTTGGAGTTAAAAACTTAACAACATAAAACCTAATTTAAGTGAGTTAAGACTATAAATTATATAATTAAAATAAGTTAAAATTTTACCGATTAAGCTACAAAGAATTATAAATAAAAAATTTAATCATTCAAATTTTATTCTCACAAAATAATTATCTTTTTACAATTTTCTTTTCTCCGCCTTATCTCTAAATTTTTCACTTTCTCTCATCTTTTTCTATATCTAAGCACACCTTAGTGTTTAGGAGGAGAGGAGATAATTTTTACCCAATAAAAAATAGAATACAATTTTCTTTCTAAATTTTAGATCATTTTTGCATATTTGAGTTTGCATGTGAGTCTCAAAGGATTTTGATGTACAATTTATTGTGAAAAGATTGATCTTGACTAGTTTAAGAGTATTGTTGTATGCTTAATTTGTTAATTGAGGTTTTCTGTGAGTAAAATCTATCTTTCAAAAAATTTAAGAGTTGTTGAGGTTATCTAACTTGGAGACATTGTGTTTGAGGTAAGGAAAAATAATTATTCTTTAATTCCTGTAATACTCTAGGCTAGAAGATCTAGACTATAAATGTGACTTAGTTATATTGATTAACTTTCAGGAAATTGGATTGTGTGACTGTGTATGTGCTGATTTGTGATAATTGTATTGAATGTGAATATTAATTGATTTTGTTAGGTAAACTGATAATTAAATATGATCTTCAATCTAACGATCAAATATAAAGTAATCCCATACTCATAAACATGTTGTAAACTAAATGTGAAAGCGTACCTGAATTAGCCATAACGATGATGTCCCCTTTAGAGTACTATTGATCTAATGGTCTTCCACCTGGAGAGCACCTGTATTTCTCTCTTGATTTTCTCTCTTGATGGGGATAGAAAGAAAAGAACGGGACTGTAACTGCGTTCTGTCTACGTGCTCCCAGAAGGGGACCATGACCCCTTAAAATAACCAAAATTAGGTTAATTACTTAAGTTTTAGTATTTCCAATTTGGCCCCTCATCAAATTAGAAATTGTTCTATGGTCTCTACACAATTTTATTTTCATGACATATGCCTTTAGCCAATCCTTTTTAATTTAGTCAGATCACTTTATTATTTGGCTTAATAAATAATGACCCTAACACATTTAAATATGTATCATATATATACATGACCCAAATTTTGCCAACAATCTCCCACTAGTCACAAATATATATGTCCTTACAACCTTACAAATGTGTTAGACTTTATGAGCTCAAAATTGTCATTATATTCCTTTAGCATATTCCAAAAGTCCTGTTCATTAATCATATCAAGATATAGAACCAAAGCAGTTTTTCATTGTATCATCGCAATTAAAACCAACAATGATTACTCATCCTAACATAATCAAATGACATGGATTCATCATGAAATGTGTAGCATGAAAATTACGTGAATGTGATCTGTACACGTCTATTTTCAACTGGTCCAAACTTTAACTTATCGAGATCGATATAATATCCTTAATGTACAAAGTGTAATGAATGAACGAAAAAAACCGCATATCTATAGATAACCAAATATGTCCAAAAATCAATGTATACATATATGAAATTAAACATAGAACATAAAATATATGAAAGTGACTAACTCCCACTAAACCACAAATTCCTCAAACTGTAAAACACCCATGTGAGCAACATGCTCATGAAAGACCTTGGGCGGAAGTCCTTTAGTTAGAGGATATGCTATCATGGAGTTTGTCCTTAAGTGTTCTATGGAAATCTGTCCACTTTGTACTCTTTCCTTAACAATACAGCTGATTTATTGTCACAATATAACTTAAGTGGTCTTTCAATGCCTTTCACAATTTGCAGCCCTGTGACAAAATTTCTCAGCCATATTCCATGATTTGATGCCTCATAGCATGCTACAAATTCTTGACATCCTGCAAAATCTGAGTCAGAAAACCCAGTGATCTCCAACTGGTCTGACCTCCTGTATGTGAGCATATAATCTTTTGTTCTCTTTAAATATCTTATGACCCTTTTTGCTGCTTTCCAATGGTCTATTCCTAAATTGCTTAAATATCTGCCTAGAACCCCAACTATGTATGTTATGTATGGACGCGTACATATTTGAGAATACATCAAACTCCCGATAGCTGATGCATGGGGAGTCTGTTGCATTTCCTCAATTTCCAAATTCCCCTTTGGACACTAATTTAGACTAAACTTGTCTCCCTTAGTAACTGGAGTATCCCCAGCTCATGACGCACAGGTTCTTGAGGATCTTGAGTTTGGTCTTGACGAACAATCAAATCATCTTGAATATGGGGTTTATCATCAATGTCTTGTGGAGGTTCCGAACTTACTTTATCAAAAGTAACTGTTTGAATCGGTTCTGGATTTATTGTCGATTCTTCCTCCAATACAAAATTCTTAATCTTATTCTTCCCCCCAAACTCAATATCCTCAAAGAACATAACAGTTCTCATCTTAAAAAATATCTTTAATGTGGGATCATAAAATTTATATCCCCTGGCTCTTTCAGAATAACCAATGAAGTAACTACTTGCTGTTCGAGAGTCTAATTTTAGTTTAGTATCACGGGATTCTGTATTAAGAGTTTCATTATATGTGACCACAATATTAAGTAAATATAGATTATCATGAGCCAAAAGTGAACAAATTCTAACAATATCTGAATTAAAAGACAAATTGAACTCATTGTTTCCAAATAAACACAAATAACCTAATTTGTCCAAATAAGAAACTGAAACAAAATTTCGTCTAAAAGACGGCACGACAAAAATATCTTTTAAATCTAAAATAAAAAATTAGTACACAATAATAATCTAAAATGTCCAATAGTCTCCATCTCCATCGATTTGTCGTTTTCAACCTATATCCATCTTTCAGAATCAGTTGGCTTCTGGTAGTTTAGGCAACCCTTTCTTTTCACGCCAAGCATGATATTTAGCACATTGCTTCTTTACGTGTCCAGTCTTATTGCAAAAGAAACATTTGTTTTCTTGAGTTTGTTTCTTTTGTTCTGGACCTTTAGCAGCTTCCTTCTTGGGATCCTCCGATCTCTTTCTTTTGCCTTTAGCCTTAGAGGTGCTTGCAAAATGAGCACTTTCTATCTTATCTTGCTTTAGCCTTTCTTCTTCTTGTACACAATGTGAAATGAGTTCATTAAGAGACCATTTATCCTTCTGACAGTTGTAAGATACCTTAAACTGATTAAACGTTGCGGGAAGAGAAATCAACACCAAATGAATGAGCAAGTCTTCTGAGAGTTCGAGCTTTAGTGCCTTGAGTTTAAAAACAATATTAGACATGCTCATAATGTACTCCCTGATATTTCCTTTGCCCTGATATTTCATGGAGATCAAGTTCTGAAGAAGAGTGCTTGCCTCCGCCTTATCACTTTTTGCAAAGCGCTGCTCAATTTCAGCAAGGAACTCTTTGGCACTTGTGATGTTTTCAGAAACAGTGCCCCTAAACACCTCCGGGATGTCGCGCTTAATGATCATTAGACTCATGCGATTTGAGCGATCCCACTTCTCATAATCTCTTTTCTGTTCAGAGGT